AGGCGCTTCAAAATAAAGTTGCATCTAAATCGCGGGCATGGCCGCTCTCATGCTTCTCTCTGCTTATATCAAAGAATCATCCTTTCCAAGTTTCCAACAATTCCACCTGTTCCTAGTTTCCACAAAATACATCCACTCTCAGGGTCATAACAGAACTCGTCGAAGTCGTTGTTCATCGAAATAACTATGTTTGCAGGCCAATTAACTTTATCGATCTCACGATCAGTTAGAAGTAACTTAACAAATATTCAAAAAATGAGTGTTGCAATTAATACTGACTGCGTAAAGTCTCTATTATACAAAGAATACGGCGATCCTGTTAAAGTTCTTCAAGTAACGACGCAAACAATAGAACATCCAAAAGGCGAACAAGTAATTATTATTGCAACAACAATTAATGTTTATGTCTTTTCCATGAAGTTTTAATCATAAGATTTAGTTGAATTTTTATGAGTGTAGGTATCTGTGAAATGGCTACTATCTCCGGTAAATCCAGCTGATATAAATACGATACAAGGAAAATATCCTAGCAGGCCTCCTCTGCCAGCAATACCAGGGAATGAAGGGGTTGGAGAAATAGTAGCAATTGGATCTGACGTTCAAGATTTGCATGTTGGAGACAGAGTGGTACCAAATGGTCCTAATTTTGGAATCTGGAGAACACAAGCTAATTATGATTCTAAAGATGTTATGAAGGTGTGTATACTGTTATATCATTTTATAAAGTTTGATGTGTAATTAAAAGATACTATATTTACATGAACACCCTTAATTGGGTTTAATAATCCATAGTTAAAAACTGGTCAATCACAGTTATTCTATTTCTCAGAGAAATACTTATAATTGGCCAGTTTTATAACTACAGATATTATTAAATTGGATTAAGGATATAGTATAAATATAGCCATATATAAACAATTGGAATAGGAAATAATAGATTTCAATCCACAAGAAATTAAGATGTTGGAGTGACCAGATCATTTGACATAATTGTATGAAAAAGGTTCAAATTGACTAAACAGAATAAAAAATTCTTTTACAGGATTAAAGTAGATGCAAAATTAGGAGGTATTGCAGTGGACTTTATACCAAAATAAAAACAAGTTAGAAATTTATTTAACTTTTTTTATATGATTGTAATGTCACCAGTTTGGTCACTCTAGTATTTCCTTAAATATTCTGATATATTGTATCTATATAATTGTGATAAATCTGTTATTCTTTGTTCCTATGGTATGTTTTTTCATTATATCTCAGGTTTGACAATACATTAGTTGCATGTGTTATTTCTTAGTCGTTTTCTAGGTACCAAGTGATGTTGATCTAGTTGTAGCCAGTATGATGAACGTAAATCCATGTACAGCGTATAGAATGCTGAAGGATTTCGTTCCATTAAAGCCCGGAGATACTGTGATACAAAACGGTGGCAATTCTGCAGTTGGTCAACTGGTCATTCAATTATGTAAAATATGGAATTATAAGTCGGTCAATGTTGTTAGAGATAGACCAAACATACAGGAATTGAAGGTATATATATATATATATATATATAATATATATATATATATACATGTATATACAGGGCGAATCAGAGTTGTTGAACCAGCTTTTTACCATATGAGAAAGTTATAAACTGCACATCTTATTATATTATAACTTTTTCATATGAAAAACTGGTTCAACGACTCTGATTCACTCGTATATATTGTTGCCTCTGGCAATATGGAGCTTTGAAGTTACAGTCGACTTTTTTTATTATGATGAATTCTGATAGAGAAGAGTACATTTTTTATGATTATTCGAAAAGTGTTTTATTTCTATATTTTTCTTCATAGAAATCGAAAATTATAATGATGCTACTCATGGAAAAGTTGGTACATCGTGTGTGTGCGTGTAATATAAAGTTAATAAAATTCTTCACATAGTTACTACATTACTGTCAGATGTTTTAATCATTTAAAAATTAATTCAGAAAGTTGTTGATCCAACTGATGATAATTTTCAGTTTTCACGAAGAAAAATATATAAGAAAATGTAGAGATAAAACGTTTTATGAACCATCGGAAAAAAGGTGAAAATTATGGTTTCCTTTAAATCTGAAAAATAAATAAAAGAATTCTCGATTCGACTTGTATGATAATAAAAATTTGTTGAAGTTTTCACAAGTATGTAAGATTTTTTTCATATTTTTGTATAGTCCAAAACAATGTAAAAAAGTTTGCACTGAAGTTCAAAATCCTAAGCTGCTTGATACAAAATTACATATTGTTGACAAAGGATTAAGAATGCATATAATATGAATTATTTAGAATCAATTAATGAGCTTAGGAGCAGACGAAGTGCTAACCGAAGAGGAAGTCCGAAATACACAATTGTTTAAAAGTAAAAAGTTACCTGCACCTAAATTAGCTCTTAATTGCATTGGTGGACAGAATGCAACCGAAATAACGAGACATCTTGCCCATGGTGGTATTATGGTGACTTACGGCGGTATGTCTAGAGAACCATTAACTGTACCAGTATCTGCACTTATATTTAAGGTAATCCAGCTCTCCATTTGTAATTAAAAATTGTAAAAAATATATATTAAGTCTAATTATTGCAATATAATTTTAGGACGTATCATTCAAAGGATTTTGGATGACAACCTGGACAAAAACAAATATGGAATCTCAGGAGAGATTGGATATGTTTAAGAATTTAGCAGATTTCTTTAGGAATAAGAAATTGCAACCGCCACCATATAAACTGGTGCCTTTTCGCGAATATCAAGAAGCCATTGCTAAAGCGCTCAGTTTCGACGGTCGAATGGGCGTAAAGTATATTCTAGATTTAACAGAATCTTAAAATGTTTTTATACATTTGCTACTTTTTTATAACTCCTATCAGTAGATTTGATAGCATTTAAAGTTACCATCTTAGGATTCTGCAATAAAATGCGCATACTGTTTTCCTTATGCTTCTGATATGACTGAAGCAAATTAAAATACTGTTTTGTAAAATAGAAATTTTTTGTACGAGAGAATATATTTATTTCTAGAAACATCGGTGTATATAAAGAAGATATAGAAGAAACAAGAAAATATAGGAAAAATTGCAATGCGTTATATGTTTCAGTTAAAATTTTAAATTATTCGATCTCGTCGAGAAGATCGAGTAAGTCCATACTGCGTTTTAAACCTTCGTGCTCATCATCGAAAAAATCCGCATATACAGTATCAAGTTTGGCTTTGTAGTCCTCGTTCAATTTTGGCTTTTCGTTTTCCGCGTTATTTCGTTTGGCATTGTTTCCTTCGGTATCAGTTTCTTTATTTGCATTATTTACATTCTCTTCGTCCATGTTTGATAGTAAATTAAGCGTGAAGGGTCTCTCATAATTAGTTTCCTCAGTTCCCAGCTGAACAGCCAACATGCCTAATTCTGCTTTCGTGCCGCAGTCTCTTAAAAACTGTTGGCTGTCTTGCCTTGCGCTTTCCGTTAGGCCATATGTTGGCAAGTATCTATATTAAAAAACAAATAATTGTCCATACCATGATTGGCATCTGTATTTTTTTTTACTATATGTTTTCTTACATATTTTTGCCTAATAACGTTTTTCTATCACCAAAGGTATCGAAGGATCCTCCACAACATGTCTCAGGGCTCACATCTTTAATTCTCATGGTGGCTAGCGTATTTCCGTGCTCTGCGTATTTCTCATCATACTTTTGAGGTACCACGTTAAAGCTGGCGTCGTCATTTTGTAAACCACGTCGCAGGAGAATTGAGACTCGCACGTGATACGGTTCTAGTTCTTTCAGGCAACTCTCCCGTGCATTCCAGACCTCTTCGAAAGTCAGACAGCCGTAAAACTGCGCTTTGAAAAGTGGAGAAATTCTTGTTAAATTGTATATTAAATTAATTATATTGAATTATACTCACGTTAACAACCATCTGATGCACCATGCTGACGCACTTTTGCGCATTTACGTCGTTGACCATGTCACGCATCGCATCCATGTGATTCAGAGTAATGAGGATGACTTCTCTCGGTCCAGTAGCCACTTTCAATTGATACTTTACCATCATGATCATTAGATCGAATAATTTGTCCATGCTACTCCTGTCTAGTTTCATTATAGATGAAAGAGCGACACTTTCCAAAGTGGTGCGTAACTGTGATATTTCGATCGGCGGCGATTCTTCGAAAATCGGCGATAGTATTTTAGGATTGAGCAAAGTTGCTATTACGTCATCTAATACTGTAATTAAAACTATATTAAATTAGTCTTGTTACATTAATTACAAAAAAATTATTTTTTTGGTGCTATATATTTTATTTTGACAATACAAAAATAATTTTTGTCAATTTCAAAATATCAAAGAATCTTTTCGAAAAATAATATGATGTATATTTGTATCTGTTATAATAATATAGTAATTCAGATTGAATGATAATGTTCGTAATTTTGGTGAGATCTTAAAATTATAAAAGTTTTCTATTATATATGTTGCTATAAAAGATTACTAGTGTAATTATAAATTATATCATTTGTACAAAAATATTAGCAGAATATTTATGGAGTATTTTCGAAATATTCGGAAGTACAATATATTGTCTCTTCACCTTGTACTGTCTTGTCAACATCGATCTTTTGCGCCTTTAGCCTCTGTCGCAAAACGTACAACATCTCGCCGCCCATATTTAAATACAGGATAGGTGTTGAATGCAAAGACATTTTTGTAGAAGTGATCTTGTCCGATAAATATTGTCAGCGATACATGTATCGAACAAGTACACGTACACCTTATTAAGCGAATAAGTCGATGCGTCGTCTTGACGACATAAGTGTACATAATACTTCTAACTGTTGCGATCGGTACCGAGACTGCGCAAAATATTTACGTATAGATCCTTCTTCTAATAGAGACGTTAAATATTTTATTAAAACTCTCATAAGGTTCGCAAAATATTTAAGAAATGTATATATTTAATGTCATAATATGTTTTCTTGACGAATATTGTGGTAAGAATTAATGTTAGAATCTATCACATAGAATTTTGCAGCAACATTGTTGCAACGTTGCAATGTTGTAATAGTGCTGGTATGGATCTCTGCTGTATGGAACATAAGATAAAATAAGTGATTCCTAGAAAAATTTTCTCAGATTTTTTTCATAACTTGAAACACTTCAGAAATATTAGAAGGGCAGTTTTTCTTATAGAATTTTTCTTATGAATTTTGAAATGTTTCCTTTAAATTCTATGACTTCTCATTCTATAATTTCGGATAAAATATCTTGAACTTTTTAAAATTTTATGAAAAATTTTAGAATGAAAAGTCTTAGAAAACTTAGAATTCAAAAATTTACGTGTTTTCCATCTGAATAATTGTTCCAAATATTTTTATAAAAAAATTTGTATGAAATTTGTATAAAAATTGTATTAAAAATTTGAGAAACTTGGAAACTCTTTTTTAAAAAGTTATAAAATAATTCACAAATTAAAAAAAAAATCTGAAATTTACATAATTCTAAAACATTTCATGAAAAATTTTGGAAAAAGTTTTCATTAGTGATATGAAATAGAAAATCGTTATTTACTCTGAAAGAAATTTTATTATTTTGACAACACATCGCAATTATTCCAGTAATGCAATATCTATTATATTATATATTATATTAAGTTAAACCTTATTTATATAAATCGTATTATATTATATCCAGCTTAAATCAAATTTCCCGCGTTATATATAGATATTTTAAGTGTGTCGAATCGCTAGTTACAGAAAAAAAAAGTTACTAGATTATTTTGTAGCTACAGTTCTTGCAAGATTCATCTTTCTTCTTTTTTCTCGACTTTAGAGAGAAAAAGAGAAAAGATAAACAGAGCAAGAAGTTTATGTTATTAAAAATAAGATTACTGTAAAGCTGGGTTTATGCTTCGGGTTTTAATCCTAAAATTCAGCCAATAAGGCTGCCAGTCCTAACCGAAATCTATTCCACAGCTGAATTTTGTGATTTTAGGGTTAAGACAAGACCGAAACATAAGTCAAGTATTAAAGCATTCTTTTGTTACTAAATTGGCGGGCGTCCAACATATATGTAATACTACTATATGGCTAGATGAGAGAGAAGTCCATGTCCCAGAACCACGGTGCGGGAATATACTTCTCTCTCTTTCTCAGCGTACTTTGAACGTTGTGCGCATGCGTCGGATCATCCCCTCCATCAATAATAAATAGAAGGATAAATATACATATATGTGTAAGGAAGAAGGAAAAAGTGATTGATTCCGCTTCAGGGTATAACCTTGTTACAGTTAACAGAGTCAGTTTAGTCGGAATAAATAAATTAATCCTAATTTTATGAAATAAACTTTTTCAAGATTGCCGTTATGTATATAAGAATACAGTGCAATCCCTTACAGAAATTTCATGATAATCAGTGCAAACTAATACCTATTTCATACCTATGCAAACTAATGTTTTCAGTCGCATTAGGCTTTTTGCCACATAAATAACATATCTCGACCATTTTTGTCTGTGTACAACAGCACACATCTAATAAGCATAACGAGCATAACCTGTTCGCGTCATCTCACTGATCGCACTCTATTTTCCTATTGGCGGATGCAATCAATCCAACGCATGCGAACACTCAAAGTACTCTTAGAAAGAGAGGGAAATATATATTCCCGCACCGTGGTTCTGGGACCGCTTCCTCTCACTCCCTCTTATAGGCACTAGCCATATAGTAGTATTACATATATGGCGTCCAAGAATATCAGAATATCCTAACTGAAACTACGTATGTACATGGCAGCAATTCTGTAAAATAAAAGAGAAAGAAGTGGTTTTCATATTCTATAATTCTATTGGCAATTCAGTCGGGTAAGTTTCTTACTGTCTACGATGAATTAATCGTAAAGATCATCAGTAAAAATTAAATTGCTTTTGAAAGCAGTTATGTTCAACAAGTTGACTCAACTGTCTAGGTAGCCGTTGTGTATAGATAATGCTCTTTTTTTTTTAATACCGGCAAACAATAATAAAATAAAAAAATATTGCAAATCATTTCGAAATAATGACGTACATGTAATATAATAAGCAATATTTAATAGGAAACATTTGAAGTTTAAAGATGAAAAATTAAACCTCTGTGATGCAAATATTGAATTTAATATTGAATTATGTTTAATCCGTAAGTGCTTGTTGTTGGGGTTAAATCGAGGGTTTGATTGAAAAACTGGTTTAGAAAACTCGAGAGAAAACTAAAGAAATATTTAAAAGTTGTGTATTTCTTTTAATTTCTAATGCTTGAAAATTATTTTATGATTATACACACACAACATGTTTAATTTATAATTCTTATGAATAAAAATAATTTTGTACACATAAAATATAAATAAATCAAAACGTGTGTTAAATTTTACTCTCACGCAAGCTTATAGATTAAATAAGAATAATAACATTAGAAGAAGGCTCGCGATAATAATAAATAATAAAAATTAAAATAATTTAACGGGCCACGAGTCGAAATAAAAATATTACAATTAAGAAGAAAACAAAGAAGATATATTTAAATTGACAACAAACAAACGTTTCGACACCGATCGGGTCACTCTCAGTGTTAACAAATAATTAAAATATTAACGGAAATTTGACAAATAATAATAGAATTTTTACAAAATCATAATCTTTTTTAGTAAAATGCAAAATAAGTTTTTAACATTTTGTTGTTCGTTAGGATACTTGTCAAAATTTAATCAATAATCAACGTCAAGACTGAATTGTTGTCCATTATTTAAAATTCGTTGAGTAGTAGAGAGGTCGCAAAATTTAGTAAGCATCATAACGGTGTAACAAAATTATCTTGTTAAATGAAAAATTGTGAAAAATCTCTCGGAGCAAGTTGCAAAAAGATAGATTATAGAAAATGCGTCTCCGACAAAGTACTACAACATAATAATTGTTTTCTTCTTAATTGTAATATTTTTATTTCGGTTCGTTGCCCGTTAAATTACTTTAATTTTTATAGATCAAATAAGATTCACACTTATAGATTAATCTGAAATTCTGAAATAATTTAATACATATCATTTTATAGTGTTGATTATTAAGAAGTTAAATGTCTTTTTTTTTTAGATTCCGTCTTATACAAAAGTATTTTAGTTATATAATATTAAAGCATTTTTAAGTAATCGAAATGGATAAGGTACAACATATGTTATATGAAAGATTGATTGCAGCAGGCAAGCATTTTGAAGTGTCAATGCAATTTAGGAGACTAAAGACTGATCAAGAACGCATAGTATTTACTCTGAATCTAATGCAAGAATATGGTATAGTTCCTAGTACAACTGGTAGGCCAAAAAATGCCGAAGAATCTGAAAAATTACGGGTGAAAGGCAATAAGATTTTTGTCACAGGCATCTTGAATGATATGATATGTATGAATGTGTTGAAATTGTATACTAAGAGTATAGCCTTTGCACCTTATCCGTCTGAACAACTTGCTCGTGGTTATGCCAATAGATCAGCAGTTTTATTTAAATTAGGCTTATACTTAGAGTGTATTCAAGACATTAACAGAGCATTAGCTCTAAATTATCCTGATAATCTGAGAGTAAAACTTTATCTGCGTAAAACAGAATGTTTAATGATTCTGGGGAATCATTCTGTAGAAGACACACTTAAGGAGGCACAGCACTGGCTAGACAAGATGTCTATAAATGATACAAATCGAGAAAGATTAACAGCGAAGTTTGATATTTTACACAATAAAACTATGCAGACAAAAGTAAATACTGGGAACACAAGAGCAAAAATAGAGGATATTCCTGATCTTCCTGTTATTGAATCTTGCAATAATGAAGTTCCTTGTGCATCAGATGCAGTAGCCATAAAATATAATATGCACTACGGCAGACACGTTGTTGCTACTCGTAAAATTCATCCAGGGGAGGTAATTGCTGTGGAGAAACCTTATTCATTAATATTAGTGCAAGAAAATATGCAAACACATTGCTCCAATTGTTTAAGGGTGTGTTGGGCAAACATACCCTGTAACTATTGTACTTATGCTATGTATTGTTCTGAAGAGTGTAGAAATATTGAATGGGAGAAATGTCATGATATAGAATGTGCTGTTTTTTCTATTGTGCTCGAATATTTGACCTATAACTTTGATTTATGTAGCATAAGGCTTGCTGTGCTTGCTCTGAGAGAAGCTGGTGGTATTGAGGAATTAAGGACAATGTTAAAAGAAATTGACGAACATGATGGTATTCACACTTATTTATAACTTATTTAATATTTATACTTTTTCTCTTAAATGATGAAGTAATTCATATATGCCATTATTTTTCAGATCCACGAACAAGAGGTTTTTCTCGTGATGGAAAATTACATAGCGATAAATATATTGGCGTGTATAGTCTAGTGACGAATTCTGAGAAAAGATCCGTGTCTGATCTCTTCAAGAGAACTTTTGATACTTCTTTTATTGTATACTTCTTAGCAACACGTACTGTGATATTTGGTGCTAAATTACCAGAGGATTTAAGTGGATTGGCGAATAACAACGACGTTATATTCATTGGTAGTCTTATTTTAAGACATCAACAAATAATTCCCAGCAATATGCACAGTGTATGATATGAGCTATGTATTCTAATATATTATATTCGGTATTATTTATTGTTTTTCTATATCGTTCTTCAATGTGTCAATGATTTATTAACATTTGCTCTTTTATTTAGTTAAATCTTATATTTGCAGTTTGGTGAAGTACAAGGTTTAGAATATGTAGAACGCGGTATAGCCTGTATGCCATTTTTTAGTTTAATTAATCATAGCTGCAATCCAAATATATTAAGGCACTCAAGATCTGAGCATATAGTAATGTATGCTATGTATCCCATTGAAAAGGACGAACAGGTATTAAGTTATTTAAATTGTACAAATTTTGTTGATTTATTATAGTATATGTTATCTTGTTATAGTTATTCGACAATTATGGCAAACACTATGCCGTCATGCCAAAAGTAACGAGGCAACGAAAACTATATGAACAGTATTATTTTGTCTGTAATTGCATACCTTGCCAGCAAGATTGGCCCTTATATAGTATATTACGGTCGTATGAGGTAATAAATAATAATTTTAATTAATAGCAACATAGGCCTGCAAAATTAAAAATCAAAAATTTTTTTGTATTTGAAAAAGTAAAATAGCTTCTTATAGTTTTTGATGCACTGAATCTGAATCCATAAGTGAAACTGTTGTATCACATCAGGTTTTTGAGAAAAAAAGAAATTAAAAATATTTTTATATTGAAGTAAATAGTAAAGTATAATTTTTTATCGATATTAAAGTATAATTAAGCATTAATTTGTTTTTTTTTTTTTCAAAATGTCTTACACGTTGGATTTATCAGCTATTTCAAAAATTAAAAAGAAAAACCGCGTTTTTCAAGCGTTTCAACTTCATTTTTTTTAAATCTGATAGAATATTTTTATTTATGGATTCGAATGTAGTACATTAGAAACTATGGAAAACTACTATTCTTTTCCAAATAGCAAAAATGCAAACCTGTGCAATCAAATAACTGTGCATTTTAATGATAATATAACGTTTGATCTGTTTTGAATATAGACTTTAGTGGAGAGACCAGAGGATAAGGCTATAATAAAAAAGGCGTTAAAGAAATTTAATACGTATGTTGATTTAGCGACAATAGGCAACGTTCCGAATAGATCTGATATCATTAAAGACTTGCTGAAAATGGTACAAGTATTGCATGATCATGCACCAATGCCTTGTGAAGAAATGAGTAATGTCATTGAGACATTAAAACGGATATATGATTTCAATGGGAATGTATGTGAGATACCACATTTGCAAAAGTAAATGTTATAAAAACTCTGCTTTAAAAAAAATAAAAAAAAGTTTTAAAAATTGAAAAAAGTTTTTTTTAGTTTGAAGTAAAAAATCATTAATTTTTGAAAGTATGACCCATTTAATTTTTTTCAGAAAATTGTCATAAAAACTTTGATTAATTTAGTAATTTTTAAGACTGGTTAATCGTGGAAAAATTTTTCTATTTTTTTTCGAATTAAAAAAAAATTTTTTCAATTTTGCATTTCATATTACAAAATAAGATAATTATTTAGAATAGAGGAGGCAGCACCGATGTAACCTTGACCTTGATATATGTTATCAAGGTCATGATTCTGATGAGTAATCTCCAGGTTTTGGCCGTCGCTTGTCCTTCGTTAAAAAGTTATGAACAAAAAAAGTTTTTCCCCTATTCTAAATAATTACCCAAAATAATATGAAATTATGATTTTGTCATGACTTGCAATTTTTAGTTTATTAATAGCATCGGTAGTCTAAACGCTCGCCAAAAGAATGGAATGCCAGAGATTCAGATTCGACTGTCGGCCGAGATAATATTTTTTGCAATAAAAAGTTAATGATTTACGGATTTAATAAGTCAATTTACAGATTTTAATATGTCAAAAATATAAACTCCAGTAATTTAAGACGAATGCGTTTAAAATGTCATTCAACATATATATACAGGGTGGTCCACGTAAAGTGTTACAAGCTAATAATTCTAAAAATAGTTGTATCAAAAAGTTGTTCATGAGAAAGTTTCATATATTTGAGGGGCCTTTCTAACTATGTAAACAAAAAATCTTTCCCCATCTCCTCTTGAGGAGGAGCGGGAGAAATAAAAAATTTAAATGGGACCCCCTGTAAAATGTTACATATTTAGATTCTACGGGAAAAAGGCAAATTTTACCTGAAACGTTTCTTTGAAAAATGATGCTATTAAAAGTTATAAATATTTAAACTTTAATGTAGAGTGCATTGAAATTAATGATAAATTAAATAAAACTTATAGTTTTCTGTTTTTTTTATATTTTATTAAATGTTCGAACTATTGACTATTAACATTTAAACACTTATTAATTCTTTTTATAAAACTTTACCTTACTCTAAACAACATTTCTGGTCACCTTAGTGTAAGCAGTACGTATTCTTAATTATAAGTCTTCTTTCGTCGTACATGGTTAACATGTAACTTCCTCTTTGATATATCCTCATAAAAAATAGTCCACATATGGACTATTTATATGTGTATGTATTAAAAATATTAATTGTTCTGTCTCAAAGAATTTAAATTTATTTAATAAATATAAATTAATTACATTGCATATGTTATATTTTTAAAATGTTAAAATTACGGCAGACATTATTGTGTGTTTATATTCTCCTTTTCTTATTGTCCTATATGTATATTATTCCCTTATGTATCTTTTCACTCACTTTGTTACGCGTGATTGAAGATATAAAAACAATATTGAGGTAATGTAAAATATGATACAGCGTTAAATTAAAGAATTCGATATACGTCCGCCTATATTTATTTAAGTTGAAATAGTGTTTCTGTTACGTCAACGACAACCAAGTAACGATTGTTAAAAGAATCGTCAATCCAACTGAACGATGCGTTGTCCCAAGATTATTACTTAAATTTTTAAATTTGTCGCCACTTTTGTATAGAATCCGCCACTCCACTCCTGAATACACAGGGCTATGTTTTTGAAAATACTGTTCTAATACCTGCTCCGTAGTAACACCTATTAAAATTGAGCAAACGATTATATTATAATGATAAAGTTATTCGATAAATATGATAGAAAATAAGAGCTTGAAGACATTGTGAAATAAAAGTTACAGTGTAAGCGTACCGAGGGAGGTTGTTTGAAGACCTTGTAGCATGTGGAAACCATCTCCGCCTTTTTCAAGGAAATTGTTTATGAAGACGTTGTAAGTGGTATTCTTTTGAAGCTCACTGTACGTTGGTATTCGGCAAGCTGCGCATTGAACATGGACCGAAACTACCCTTGAATTCCGTGGTTGACTCACATCGTAAACCACCTACAAATTACGCGAATTTATCTTTAACAAAACATGGAATAGAATAATGATTAAGTTTTGGTGTTTAAATAATCATCAAGCAGAAGTTATAAAAATTAACAATATTCAAACGATTGAATAATTCAAAAAAGAATTATTTAATTTGAATAATTTTTTTTTGAAAATAGATTTTAAGTCTTTAAAAAAATTAACTACCTGCAATCCCGAAAATTGCAGATAAGCACCGAATAAATTCCCAGTAGAAGTTATATTATCGATATTATGAACGCTCCACTCCAGCATTGAAAGAATCTGTTCTCCTGTCATGGAAGCTTTGATAATGACATTTCCGAAGGGCAAGACACTTATGATATCTCCTCGAGTGACCTGTAAGTAATTTTACAGTTTGTGAATTAACAAGAAAATTTTTTTCAAAATTCTTACACCAGAATGAAACACTTCGGGATTACTTTATCATGAATTACGAAATATTCTGAGAATTATATTTTTTATTTTATAATTTTTGAATAAATATTTTAAACTCTTTTGGATTTTATAATATATATGATTTTATGAGAAATTATACAATAAAAAATACAATATTTTAGAATTTATATGAAGAATTTTAGGAACAAATAGTAATAGACTTTCTTGGAATTTTTCAAAACTGTTTCGATTTGTATAAAAAAATCTGAGAAATTTTTTAAAAAGTTATAAAATTATTCAGAAATTAATTACATAAGAATTGTGAAAAATTATATGAAAAATTCTGAAAAAAATGTTTACGAAGAAATGTAAAGTGCATATTTATATATTAACCTGATCATTTCTATCTCTGGTGATGGATGATCTGATGCTGCCACTATTCTGCACCGCAATAGCGGTATCTGTCCATCCTTTTTTATCAACGTATTCTCTAGCGTACTACGAGCAAAAAAGCACATTAATCTTTCTGAAGGATATTTCGTAATATTGATAACTAGAAAGTGCAGTTCACTGTATATCAATTGGCGATCTTACGTAATCGATTATAGCGTCGCAAATCAAATTTCCCATATTGCATTCTTGCCGCCTACAATTCTTGCTGTCTCCATCCAGGAGTACTCGCGTACTTCCAATCACTTGCTGTTGTAACTTGTCGATGCGTCCTCTTTTCTCGTTTATCACTCTCAGTACATCTTCCGCCTGTAAGAAAACGATATAATAATTATCGTAAGGTTTTATTTTTTGGAGAATTCTTATATATACAATTATTATTTCACTACATTTAAAGTGTGTTTATTTATATTTAATATGTAACATATGAAATGTATAAAACATATCTCTATTCATTTTTTTTGTCTTTATCTTTTAAAATATTGATATATATATAATTAAAAAAATTATTTTGTATATATTATATATTTATATATTGTAATATATCGTAAAAATTATATGTTATATAAAATTTACATTATACATATACATTAATCATATTGAATATTCTCTTATAATCTATATAGGTAATATAAATTATATTTTTTATTATTTTTTTTAACAATTCTTTTGCATTTTTTTCAGAAATTAATTACCTGTTCCACATTAGCATCCACGAGAATCGGGTTTCCTTCTATATGTGTTACCTCTCCTTTAATATCGAAACTTACGGAGAAATTTCCTAAATATTTAGTATAAGCGTATGCCTGTACGACATAGACTTTTCTGCCGCTTTTCTGCACCACTTCTGTGGGATAAAAGCCTTCTGGTACCTCGACGTCTGGCGATTTCCCGCGATACAGAAAGGTATTCGTATGTCCTCCAATTACTAAATCAATATCCTCGACCTCCCGAGCAATCTTCTTGTCGGTTTCAAATCCCGAGTGACCTAGAGCGATGAGAATGTCGACACCTTGTTCCTTTAACTTCTTAACTTCTTCTCGAATACACTCCACTTCATCTTTGAAAATTACTTTTTCTGTACTTGACAAAATCTTCGTGTCGGGCGTTAGATAACCGATCACACCGATTTTTTTGCCGTTCACTAAGAGAATTGTGCTGTTTTTCAAATTTGTGGCGGCCAGGTCCGGTTGCTCGCTGAGGTCCAGATTTGTTGTCAAGATAGGATATGAGGCATTTTGTATAAAAGGTATTAAATTTATTACACCGTCATCGAACTCGTGGTTGCCCAAGCTCTGTCAGAGTTCATTGAATATAATGACGTGAATTTTATTATATTAGATAAAAATATCAAAATTCTTAGATATTTCAAAATCGTGTATTTACAAAAAAAATTAAGTGAATAAATTGCTAGCAAAAATCAAGAAAGTGTTGAAAAATAAATAAATTTCAGAATCCTATTTTGTATACAAGAAATATGATAAAAAGTTAAAAAATAAAAACGATCAGTAATGACTGTTTAGTTTCAATTAATTTACTTTTAATTAAAAACTTAACTATAATAATAAATAAATACAAACACATACTAAGCAATCTTTAGTTTTTAAGATATTTTTATAGTTTTGTAGTTTTTTTAAAATGATATTTACTATAGCATCTGGCTTCAAGAGATTCATGAACCAAGCAACCGCCTCCCACTTGTACACGTTGTACCATGCGGTTCCTTGATAAGTATCACCGGCATTCAGGAAGATCGTCGAAGGTGATTCCGATTTCGCTTGACGGACCAAAGTGGCGATTCTGGCGAAACCTCCGTAACATTTCCCAGCTTTGGAGTCTGCTGGTGTACACGCCGTCGACAATTGCGAGGTCTCTTCGAATCTAAAAATATTATGTGAGAAACTCTCAAGGCGATACTCCGGTTGATTTAATTACATAAATTTTGACGTCAGAAGAAACAAGGAAATTGTTTCGATAAATAACACCACGTGTGCAATGCCTCTAACTAACACATGGGTGTGGAAGATAATTAACTATCTTAACATTTGTGATTAGCTCGGTGGCGATAATTGTCGTTGGTGTGATAGAATTGGATTGTAACAACCACGTACGAAGAGAGCATACATAACTTAAATTTAATTACTTATTTAGAAAAAAACAATTTTATTTTTTTTAAACATTCAAACGAATTTGTACAATTATTATCTGTTTTGTAATGAGAAGCAGAAGTATATTAACATTTTTTTTGTTCTAGTAGTGAGAAATACCTCGCGTGCATGTCATTTGTGTGAACGATTCTAATGGTGAATTCTTCATCCTTCCGTAACATGGGATTTGCGAAGGCTTCATTTTTGATTATCAATAGCATGATAATGCAATAGTTTACGAACGAAATGATTGACATTTTCTATTGTTATTAGTTCCACGTTATGATTCTGTTGAGTTTTTTTAGTTGAATATTTCTTCTTTATTGCTATCTTGTTATTGTGTTTAATGTTGATAAGACACGGTTTCGTTTCACAGTGCCAATCACACTACATTGCCTCAGTTTTCCTCACTATCGTTGAATTATCACGTGGTATTTTTCAATCTAGAGAGACATAAAATATGTTTCAACGTTTATTCTCTGTACATTTTGTGATATATAATTCAATTAATTTTATAGGATAACTTATATTTTACAATTGGAATCTTCTATTTTTTTTATTTTAATGATTGCATTTGTGAATAAAAAGAAGTTACATTGTGAAAGTATATAAAAGTGAAAATATTTAAAAGTTTTTATATATTTATCACTTTTTGCATATTACATTTGTAAAATTACGAGAATCTAAATTTATTGGGTTTACGATCTTGCGAAACACATTAGAACTTGCCAAGAATTATAACAGCTCGTAAAGTTGTCGTAAAGTTTAAGATCGTTATAAGCCTCAGGCAATAATCAATTCGATTTAATACGTAGTTGGCGTCATGGCTAATTTATGGAAAAGGTAACGAAAATGAAATTTTTTCTTTGACTTTCACAATATATTTTCCTCTATTAAAACGCTTTAATCATCTAAGAAATTATTAACACAAAATTCATGCGGTTCTGTTTTTAGGAGGAAATGAATGAAAAGAGCATAATCTGGATTATATTATATACATGTAACGAGGTTATACTATAATTGTAAAATATTATATGATATAATGACAATTGTATTGTATATGACAATATTTTTTATCTATAAAATGCTTATAAAATAAGAAGCTGAAAAAAAAACGCATTTATTTATTATATACTAAGTAAAATTATCACATAACATATAAAATTGTTTTATCGAAAAAATGTTCAGATATATATACTCTCAAGCAATAAATATATTTATAATTCATTTAACGTTTAATTAGTTTTAATATTACATGTTGTTCTAATTTTAGAATAAAACGATGTTTCATATATGAGTGATAAAGTGATAAATAGAAATAGCAGAATAATCTCTATTTGATATCGATATATTCAGATAAAAAGTAAAAATTGTAAATAACTACAAGAAATTATTTCAAATATTTTTTTTTAAATGAAGTTATGAAAGATTTTGATTCGATAGTGAAGCGGACAAACATATGTTTGTATGATAGTTTTTGATGTATTATAGCATAATATAAAATACTTTTATACATTATGCACATATATAATGAAGAATAGCTACAGTAGTAGATAACGAATTTTGTATTATAACGATTTGTATTTTATTATTTGTAACATTGAGAATGACCTGATCGGTGTCAAAACGTCATTTTATATTATTGTTCGAATTAAAGTGGTTTTTACATTACTGGCTCTTTGCCCTTATTTTTTATATAAATTGTTTTATATTTACAGAGCCTTATTATTATATTAACTTTTATATATTATAAAATAATACATTTATACATTCCAAAACGTAGTCACTTATTTTAGAAATACCTTGTGCATCTTTAATACAATATAAATATTATAAACGATTAGGGACAAGTTGAATAAAACACCGTACATTGCCTTGAATGTGAATGTGGTATGTAACTCCGTGCGAATTACTGTGCGCTAAGTAATATTCTGTACACGTGTACACACACGTGTAATGTAGAGCAACTTTGGAGAAAGCAACGCAACAACGTAATATTGAGTTTCGCGAAACGAGTGTATCGGTATCATTCACGGAAATATTGATTAAATCTATCGCAAATTTTCTGGAATAACGCTTCCGTCATTTCCGCAACTGTATCCAAAAAAAAAAGGAAGAAGGAATGAGGTGATTGAATAACGTCCGGCTTCAACTATCACTTCAACTACGAATGGCGCAGTTAAATACTTGTATAATCGCAAAACCGAAAATGTACGCGTTTTAATCACTTTTTTTTTACATTATCGCAGCGTTTTGTGTGAGCGACGAGAAACACGAGCCGATTTTCTCGAGCGACTGGCGTCGACTGAATATCGACGTCGTCGTCGTCGAGGCCCCACCGAACTTCTTCCGATCTCTGCTGGAGTTCTTGTTTGAACCTTACAGCATCCATTATAGACTTATTTAGCTTCTTAAGCAAGTTTTTAGACTGAATATTGGATTGGAAGATATGTTTTTGTAGTTAAAAAAGCATTAGTTTCAAATTTTAATTTAATTTATTTTTATATACAATTATGTTTATATATATCTTTTATTATTATATTACATATATATTTATTATTTTTTTAATATTGCGTACAAAATGATTTGTATGTACAAATATAATAAAATTAGATTTTTAGAAAAAATATTTGAGTCAGAAGAAATTCTTATGATTAGAACATTGTTTTACTACGGTAATAAATGTTTTTATTATATTAAAAATGCATTAGTGATGTCACAAAGATTTAGTGATTTTTTATCACGCATTTTATTACGTGCAAAAGTAACGATTTTTCTACGTTTCGGCTTAAAACGTCTGTTAGTATAAGATTTCTAAAAAAAGTCAATTGCAAGAAAATAAATGAGTATATTCGATAAAAAGATCATATTTAAAAGATAATTTATTTTGGCTAATATTAATTTATTAAGTAGTATTTTTTTCGTAATTTGCTGTGTAAACATTGTATATCTTTAATATAAATAGCAACGAAATTTATATCAATGACCTCTAGTTACTTTGAAATTGAAATCTATAGAAATCGTGCTTATTATCAGTTGTTTTCGTGACAAAAATTTTGATATAAAAAGTCGACCTAACAATAAATCTATTTTATGTATAAAATATCTCTTCCATACCTCTTAAAAATTTTTTTTATATTATTAGCTCTTTATCAGAGTTTTATTAAATTTATAATAGAGTATTGATTAATTTCTGATTAACGTACGACAAGAAATTTAAAATTAATCTGATAAATAAATCTGAAATAAGTAGTGCTGTTTAATAGAATATTGTTAAGTTCACAAGTGGCTTTCATTTTTATTTGTGATTATTATCTGCTTCTTTAAGTACTTTAATTACAAATCTTCAAACAGATTATTTAATACAAATAAACAACAATTAATTTGATTCTAATGTATATATAGTATTAATTAATAGAATTTTAATTAATTTTTTCTAGATATATAAAATCTCAGATTTAAATTGCCGATTGTTTCATTACTAGAGTTGGAATTAATTAATATTACATTATATTGATACAATAAATATTTCTGAAGGAAACAAGCTATCCGCTTAAGCTTACAAGATTACTATTGTATCCTTGAGAATCTTAGCATGATAAAATCTTGATACGCCTTTTTGGATAGAATAATCAGTTCTAATTGTGTGCTACCCATTGACACCGCGCCGCCGCCGCGACCAAAGCGTATAAAACGTAATACTATCTTTCTGTCAACAAGCCAGAAGGTTGCCAAAGTTATTCAGCAATCTCCTTGGCATCATATGTCCTTTCTCTTAGATATGATTAGATATGCTCGCCATTCGTTCTCCCATTTGCCTATGTTACATGTACGTGTCCTGTTCGTCGCGAATAAATAATCGCGCGCATCATAAATTGACATGACACGAGGCAATTTATTTACTAGTGTAGACCTTAAACTGTTTTCGTCACGCATCATGATCACGTTTGCGTAATACGAGTGATTCTAATTTTGTTTAAGTCAGAATTGTATCACGTGAGAACGCCGAAAGATAAGCATGTATCTTCGACATGTAAGATATGCTGCAACATAATATTTCGTTATCAATATCGATACACACAGGAATAACACAATCGCGTATTGTTTAATTCGAGTCAATTAAACATTGTCTTTTTCCTTTCTCCCTTTTTTGTAAAAATAAAATTCAACCTAGCGGAAACTTTTGTCATTGATAGTGCATTTTTCAATTAAGCATGTATAGTTAATTAGAATAGTGGTAAGATGTATTGGTTTTTTTGTACTGATTTATCAGAAATTGTTACATATTATTTTTTTAATTATATGCAAAATGATGATAATGGAAATTTTTTAATATTTTTCTATATTTTGTATTCATGAATTCTGCTTATCTATTAAGAATTATAATCAGTGTTATATAAACTAGATCTCTTTTGCAAGAAATTAAATTATTTTGTATTAGAGAACCATATTAAAGAGACTTCAAGAAAGAGTTTTAGAGTTCGAATATTTCTAGATCATATACGTATGCCTATATTTAAATACTTGATTTACTTTTTCTACTTAATTTATATTTAACTTTTTTTTTACAAATAATTAAACATTATTTTCATTTGAAGTTGATGTTAAAATTACCGTTTGATTGTCATAATTGGAATCAATAACATATGGAATTACACGTACGGTGGCAATCATGACGTACGTGTTATCACAGATATATTGAATAAAGATATAGTACGTCTAAAAATAAATATGTATTTGAAAGAACTAAAGGAAATGATAAGTATTTTGTTCGTAAATAATATTTTACTTAAACCGTTAAAAAATGTTTAAAAAAGACAATATGTTTTCGCAATTGGAATGAAGAAAATAAACATAAAAGATTTATTTAAACAATGATATCAATGATATTAATCATAAAGATTAATTTATATATTTTCATAAAGATATTAATCATAAAGATTAATTTATATATTTTCATGGTAGTGCAAACTGTACAGCTTTATGTAAACGTAATAGATTTAAATTAAGAATAGATCGTACCTTATGGATTTATAATAAAAAATTCATTGAATATGTATTAATTTAAATATTGTATTTACATACACTCTCTCTACTTAGAATAAAATTAATATTACTTTAGCAAAATTAATTTAAATTAATTTTAAGATAAATATTTTTTGTAACCTTTATAATAATAATATTATTCCTTTATAATAATAATATTATTCCGTTATTCACAATTATATTCACGAAGGAAATCATTATCTTATTATCTTATTTAAATATATCAAGATTCAAAATATTTAAGATATAATACAAACTGCCGACGTTCAAAACTATTTTGTAATCACTCGTGAATTAGGGGATTCGGAATAACCAACATTATTTCACGAAAGAAATGAAGACATTCCGTTGAACACAAAAAGACAGTTTACTACGAATATTCAACACGTGAGTTACTAACTGAAGACAAAGGTGATTTATACTCATTATTAAACGAAGTTCATTATAATTTGGTCATCGTTATCTCTGTTTCATAACCTTCAGTCATTTGCTGTAGATAAATTGCACATTTATTTAACCTAAGGATAATTAACTAGCGTGCGAATAAATAATTGTTTAGTATAAGCGATTGCATACATCGCAATATGTTTACTGCGTCAAACCATTTGCGTTTTGTTAATTATAATGTTTCGTTCTCAATATTTGCATTAATCGACCTTGCATTTTTCACATAGCACAATTATTTTATCTTTGTCGACTTGCGAACTCGTAACACCTGTTTTATGTTTGCGTTATAATCACTAGTGAAAAAGCAAAATTGCATATTTTTATGTTATATTAATATAGTCGCATGAATGTACGATTAAATGACTTGAAAGTATTTTAGTACGATAATACTCGCTTCGCAAACTCCATTTTCTTAATCTTGCGAAGGTGAGCGATAAAACATTCTCGCATCTCTCTCTCTCTGTCTCTCTCTCTCTCTCTCTCTCTCTCTCTCTCTCTCTCAGAAAGATACTTACGTAAATTAAAATAGATAAGTATACCAAATAGAGAGTCAACTTCAATATATACACACGTGTAACAAAATTACATAACGAAATATAAATTCAAAAAATAAAAAGGTTAGTTATAGAAACACATTATTATGCAGAAATTTGTTGGAGACATAAATAAAAAAAATAATTTTAAAGCCATCGAGTATATATAAATATATTTCTTATTTACTAAATTATAAAACAAAAATTACACATTCAGAGATAAATATATTAAACAATATTTAAAAGTATTATTATCTGTTTTAAAAGCGTCACAATGTAACAATGTTCGTGACGGTCGCTTAAAATGCAAGGCTATTTTGTCTCCGACTTTTGCATGTTGCGTAATTTCCCGTATTATCTTTGCAATTATTTTTCAAGCAGCAAGACAATGCATTGTAAAAAAAAATTGTAATTATTTAATATCTGTATTGACAAAGAGTTAAAAATGCAGTTGTAACATATCACATGTAAGAAGAACATTCTAATAGTTATGGAATAGTTTTTTGTGTCTATTTCTTTTAAAAGTAACTTTCTTTGTATCTCTATCTTGCAATTTATCTACTGATTATCAGATAAAAAGATGGTTAAATATAAAAAGATATGAAATTTACGTATTTATTTAATTTATAGATATACATAGTTAACATATCACGATTACTTCGCGATATATTTGTTTGAATCTCATTGCGTAAAATTACACATTTGTAGAAAAAAACAAGCAATCATTTATTATAATTATTTAATGATATTTTTACCGACAGGTGTGACATGTACATACTATTGTTAGCCTTAGTGTCCTTTCAAGTTTGTTGGGGGTTTACCGGGCGCGGACTCTTTTATCCCGGTAGAGCAGACCTGTTCGAGTTATCGATAATTCATTTAAATGACTTTCACGCCAGGTGAGAAAATCTATTTAATTCTTATTTAACTCTTCGGAAGTAACGCAAAAATCTAGATAACACGACTAACGTTGCTAACTGATGCTAAGTCTGTAAGATTCATGAATTGAATTATGTTAATTAAAGATTTTATATACGTAACTCGTATAAAAAGGGATAACTATTAATTGTAAGTATATTTTAATAAAAATAATCTAAATTGCAATGTAAACTAAAGAAAATAATGCAAATTATAATAATATAATCGAAATAAGATAATTGTGATTTTATTTTATTTAAAAAAAGGAGTGTTTTATTTCAAAATATTATTTTATTGAAAAATATATTTTTTAATATACTTAGCAAAAATTTTTATTATATTTTCTGGCTTCTATAATGTTATCATAAAGATCCGTGATAAGTCAGGAGGATTAAACAAAAAATTAAACAAAGTCTTTTTATATAAATTTGCTGTCGATCATTTGTAAAAAAATTATTGATTGGCATTAAAAGAAACATTAATTCTTAACAATCGTTAAGAAATCTTGTCGTCATGTATGTAGTTAATGTCAAAATTGTAATTCTGGACTCGAAAAGAATTTATGAGGTCAAGGGAAATAAAGTTATTACAATAATTTCGATGATGTAGCCTTAGCCTACATTTTTACCCATCGTTCGACTTTTGTATACTTTTTTGTGATCGTATTGTTCGTCGAAGCGTCAAAGCGTGACCAAAGGACAGACATTATGTTGGAACAGATTCGAACAAACTAGCCCATATTCTGGAACCTGCCGAGAGGGTCAGGAAAAGAATTGCGTAGGAGGTATAGCTAGAGTCTACACGGCAGTTAATCAGCTTGTGAAAGAACGACCAAATGCAATTTTCCTGAATGCTGGCGATCATTTTCAAGGGACTCTTTGGTATAATATTCATCGTTGGAACGTCACTGCATTGTTTATGAATATGTTACCACACGATGCTATGGTAATTATAATTTTATATATATACACATATATATACATGTTTATTATACACACATATATATACATGTATATTATATACATATATATATTTCTTTAATTTATATGTCACATTTTAAAATAAAATAAATTTTTTTATTTAATTTAAAAAAATAATGTTTAAATCGAAGAAATTATATTCAAATCAATCAAAGAAATTCTTTCTTTAACCATATAGCAAAGAAACATTTCTTTGAAACGAAGAAACCTTTTTCTGGGTATAGTATATTGGGTTACGTGTATGTTCATATAAAGCAGGAGAGAAAGAAAGATATTTATATATACTGATATACATATAAAATAATTGAAGAAAATATAGAGTTGAAAATATCACGATGAAAGAGAGTATATATATTATATAAATTTAATATAAATATAACTTACTATTCTTTAAAAAATTTAAACTTTTACATTTATGAAGTAATAGTACTTTATGATATTTTCATAGACGATTGGTAATCATGAATTCGACAATAAAATCGAAGGTGTTGTTCCTTTTCTTAAAAATGTCAATGCGCCAGTTGTAGTAACAAATATCGATGACAGCGAGGAGCCAACTATACAGGTAATCTCTATTCATTAATTTATTTATAAGAGTATGAAGGTCTCTAATTTCCTTATATGATTGTTATATGATTCATTATATAATTATATACATATTTCAGGGTTTATATAAGAACAGCACAATTATTGAAAGAAACGGTACCAAGATCGGTGTTATTGGCGTCATTATATCGACTACAAATGTAAGAAATCAATTACATTCTTTTTCTAAACAATTAGAAGTTATTTAATTTTATTTAATAATATGTGATTTTTTAATTAAAATTTAATTCATATATTTAAAAAAATTTTTTTATTTTCTCTCTTATAAGATATTGTAATGAATTTATCGAAGATAAATTTGATTTTTCCAGTTACTCTCGAACACAGAAAAATTGAAGTTTTTGGATGAAGTAGAGACAGTCAACGACGAAGCTAAGCGACTGAAAGAAAAAGGAGTAAACATTATTATAGTTTTAAGTCACTGTGGATTGAATATAGACAGAATCATGGCTGCGAAATGTTCTTTGATTGATGTAATCGTCGGTGGTCATTCACACACGTTTCTTTATAGTGGTATGAAAGCAAAATTCTTTGTATTGATCAAATATAAGTTAAAATTACACATAGAATTTTATTTATCGTTCGTTTTTTAAATTATGTCGTTATAGCAAATGAGTGATATATGGCATTAAAAATAGCGTTGATTCTTTTATTACAGGACCTCCGCCTTTTATCGATACACCCGTCGATGAATATCCCGTAGTTGTAACGCAGAATGAAACAAATAGAACGGTCCTTATCGTTCAAGCAGCTGCTTATACAAAGTACGCTATTCAACTGGCATGAGGATATAGTAAGAGAATCGTTAAAGAAGGTCAATTGCTATCGTATATCACGAGGTCGGGTTTGATTAATTTGTTTTTATTGCAATAATTTGACGGATAAATTTATTTCAAATTCGTCGAAAGAATCATTTAAAATCCGTACATTACATCCACTATTAGCCATCAAAGGCGCAATAATTCCTTGAGTTAAAAGTAATATTCGGTTATTTTTAAACAACGCCTACATGTATCAATGTTATTTGCACGTAAATAATAAACAAAGTTTGTTGAATTTAATACATTTTCTTAAGCTATAAATGGTTTAACTTTATTATTTTAGTTAAATTAATGACTATTAATAAGTAGAAACAGTAACAACCAATAGAAATAATAAAAACTAACTCAAATTAAATAGAAATTGACGTTATTATAAATTTAGTCGTATATATATTGTATAATAAACATTTATGATTTTTTCGTTGTTTTGTTTTAAAAGATATTTAGGTAATCTGACAGTGTGGTTCGATGACCAAGGTGAGGTCGTTGATTGGGATGGAAATCCACTTCTTCTGGATCAATCCATCGAAGAAGTTAAGTCTTGACACTTTCAGAATTAAACTTGTATTACTATTTATAACAATAAGTACAATACAATACTTAAAATAGCTTAAATGTATTATAATACGATAAAACGACACGATACTTCAAACAATGCCTAATATATTTTATACAATAGATCCAGGAATCTTGGAAGCTTTGAAGCCTTGGAAGGAGGTAGTGGATGAAATAGCTTCAAAAAAGATCGGCATAACGAAAGTCCTACTTCAACATAATTGTCGTAATAGTGAATGCAACATGGGAAATCTTATAACCGACGCCATGGTGAATGCGGTGCGGAGAACACTCTTTGCAATATTCTATATCTATATCTTTAATCAAAACTAAAAAAGAATTAAGTTGAAAACTTAATTTTTTCAGTTTTATTGCCTTAATTTTAGGTTGTCGACGATGCAGAAAATAAGACTCATTGGACGTATGCAGCAGTGGCTTGCATGAATCCAGGAGGAATTCGTAGTTCCCTTGAGGAGTCTAATATTACCTACGGAGATCTGATAGTGGTTTTGCCTTTTGAAAACACTTGGGATACTATTGAACTGACTGGAGACTCTATTAGAAAAGTTAGTCATATTTCGTGTTATATTTCTTCAATATTCTATTTATATAAACAATAAAATAGAGATTTAGTTGAAATATAAATATGATTCTCTTTGTCTAAATTTACAATAAATTACTAAAATCGAGCACTATAAAATAGTTTCACATATAGGACGACACATGATCTGAAATATGCGGTAATAATTCCTCTGCAGAAATTGAATAATAAATTAAACAATAACATGAATTTTACTTTCCTATAGATTCTAGAAATGGAAAACACGCTGGTCTGGTCCGGACTAAAAATTACTTACAACAAAGTAAATGAAACGCGATCTCTGGTTGATGTTAAAATTAGGTATGTAAAATCTTTTTTATTGCCAAAATTTTCGCTGTAAAGTTAAAAGTATAAAATTGTTTTGTAATGTGTTTGTAATTTTGTTTTAATTCTATCAAAAATTAATGAAAATATTTCTTGACATATTGATAGATGCCAGGCTTGTGAATATCCGGTATTCGAAGACTTAGTGGACGATCAGTGGTACAGAATGGTGATACCAAATTTTTTGATGAATGGCGGAGACAATTTTAACATTTTTAAAAATAAAAGTCGTAATTACAAAGTCGGAACAGTCGATATAGATCACTTTATAAAATATGTAACGAAGATGAGTCCTATATTTATTGGAACTCAAAGACGAATTAACATTCTAGAGTAGAATTATAAATTTAGATAAAGAAAGAGAATAAAATTTCTTCATTTTTAATAATTAATTGTAAAAATATATAATTTTAATACAGATTTATTACACACATACACATATATGGTATATGTATAAAAGATAAAAACTCATTTGATAGGCAGAACATATCATACATGCAGATATCACAAATAACTCTGTGATTCAGAAGCATGATTCATGGTATAAGCAACGTTTTTAAGAAAAAAATTATTCCTCGCGTTATAAAATTACATATAAAATAAAAATATGAATTATATTGTATGTATTAGTTATATATAAAAAAAATTCTTAATTATTATCGACAAAAATGAAATAATTTATACATATATTTCCAAAATATAAAAATTTTGTTTTATGCTATCGTATTATTTTCCTGCACTTTTCCTCAATTTCCTTACAATCATTAAAAGGTTCAGTGAATCGAAATTGAGATGGATTTATACTTAAAATAAGATTTGTGAAGATCTCTCTCGCGTGACAACAGTAAGAAAGCAGGAAACGCCGGTCGCTTATCTTGCGGTATCTCGAGATCGAGGCAGATGAAGCATTTAAATAATGTATCGAACAGGTGAAATAGCAGCTGTTCGTGTTCCTGCCCTCGACCAGAATGCGCGAACCGCTTCGTAACATCGGCATGGAACGCTCATTTTTAACGAAAGAGAGAAAAGACGATCTGCAACGATTAAAGTAAACTTGAGGTATATTATTTCATTATTATATTTATAATATTCGATACATTTTTATGTACATCGTACTCACTATACACTAGTAATAAAAATTAAAAATTATTTTGTGAAATTCGTGACAATTATATTAATTGTATTGCATAATATAAATCACGATTTTAAGGCGTTGTGTAATAGAAGCGTCGAGATTTATACGCTATGCTGAAAAGAGAACAAGAATGTAATCGATTTCAAGTCGCTGTTACTTAGCGCCAGTATTACGAAATCGGTGCATCGTGATGGATTATTCGAAATCTACGAATGTCGGAACAGATCGCCGTGGTTCAATTCAATTATTTCTTGCATACGACGTTCTCAGAAACAATGATCGCTACGTAGATTCCCTGAGGAGCGATCGATCAAAAACAAGTGCATTGATGTTTATGTAGAAAACCTAGACTGTTGCAAGATTCGGGATTTAGAAAACGTTCGACTTCCCTGATCGCGATGAAACTGTCGCACGATCGCGCGTAATGAAGAGATCTCGATGATTTGGATACGCGTGGAGGGTGAAGAATCTGCTAGACAGAATCTGTTGTTTTTAGGGAACGAGCCATAATACATGAGAAATTAATTTCTGATGTAGCTGGATTCTCTAACGGCGACTGTTCTTATCGTTAATTAGCGACAATCAATAGCAAGGACGAATCTTGGAAAGATACGCGGTTCTCATTTTGGTTAATCACGAGTATAATTTTTGCTACATCCATTTCTACCAATGTAGATTAACTTCAATCTCGATTTAGTTTATCTTTCTGCAATCCTTACGCAGCTAGAAACGGATGAAAAGTAAGTTAAATCAAGATTAAAGTTAATCTGTATTAGTAGAAACGAGTATTTTTGCGATAAAAAGAAATCTCAGGGAATCTTGATGAATTATGAAGGCGTGCTTCTGTTATGATTACATGCGATTTGCCGGATGTTTCGCGAGCGTCACGACGACAATGAGGAGGCTGCGAGAAAGCAATGGCCGCGGTGCGACGTCTGGCAAGGAAGTCTGCGCGGAGGGCGACCGGGAGGCAGCTGTGCCGCGAAGTCGCGCAATCCCGAGAGAGCAAGAGGACCGAGAAGAAAAGGAAAGATGAACAAAGTGCGTAAATGGAAGTTGAACAGAGACAGTTCCGAGATCGGCAGTGCTGTCTCACAGAACGGCCGACATTAGACACAAGTATGAAGATTACTTGTGTAAAGTATAAAGACTACTTACGCTTAAGAGTAGCTTTTCTATTTTTGAACGTTTAGTTTTATCATCTTCGTTAATTAAAACTTACGTTATTAGGAAAAAAAGATAATTCTTGATGACTTAAATTTACAAAAATCTAAAAATGAATGAATACGTTTTTTGTCGTATCATTTAATTTTATTGTTAAGATTAATTAAATTAAAATCAGAACATAGCAAATGGCTGTCTTCAGAAAAATATAAGATAAAAATACAGAAAAGTAGAATAAGATAATATATGCTTATGGAAAGAATGGCTTTCTTGAGATATTCAAAAATATATAACTAGATATTCAGATCTGAAAATATTATAATAATTAATGTTGGACTATCAAAATAATTGCGCAGAACACAAACTAGTTGCTCTTAAATGTTAAAATTTTTTGCAATCGACTGAATATTTTATACATAATTATTTGGACGTTTCAATAAAATTATTTTCAGATCTTTTTAATCCACTTAAATTTTTAGATAATTCAACAAAATTGTATTCTTGTATAATAACAAAAATAAGAGATACCTAATTTATTTAAAAAATATAAAAAGAAGTATAAATAATATAAGATTATTTTTATAAGTTACACTATACCGCTTATAAACATTGACAGTACATTTAATAGTTTTTTTCAGACAAAATCTTTTTATCCAAATCTAGAGATGTTTCAAACATTTTTGAGCAACAGTATACATATACTTCTGAACAAATCGGCTTAATAAAAAAATTTCTCCTGAGGCTTCGGCAATCGCGCGGCGCGAGATGTTAAAATTGCAAAAAAAGTTATCGAAAAGGAGCCTACGGTTTCCGACACTCGAGCGTGCAGTATACACGAGTGCGAGAGAATCGGGTGAATCGACGTATACTCCGAACGTCAGTAAGACAGAGAGAGAGAGAGAGAGAGAGCCCGAGTAAGGAAGAGGCTCGTCCGAGGCGACGGTCGAAAGACAGAGAGATAGAACACGAGCGAGCGTGCGCCGGGGACTGTCATGGAGGCAGATCTCTGCCTGTGGCAGGAGGGTCTCGACCTGCAGTACTCGGGCATTACCTGCCAGCGCGTGAGGCACGCCGGCAGCTGGCCAGTGTCTCCGAAGTCGCGGACTCCGATGGGTCGCGGAGCTTACACGAGTAGTAGTTAGTAGTAGCGCGTGGTGAGCGGTACCAAGAAGCTCGGTACCAAGAGCGTCGCTTGCACGACACGGAGCGAGCGAGAGGATTCGCCGAGTGCGCGTCGCGCCGTGTCGGTGAAGCGGCCAGCCGGAGACGATCCGCGACGACGACGACGACGACGGGGACGACGAGGACGCCGGTGCGGGAGGAGGCGGGAGAGGCGCGAGCGGTCCCAGGAGAGCGACACGTCGCGATACGATCGATCCGTCAAAAGCCGTGCAGTAGCGGCACGCAACCCAAGCGGCGGCTACGCGCGAGACCGCCCGCCCGCTGGCGATGGAGGAAATGTGCTGCTCGTGACGTCACGGAATTCCTCCTCGGTGCTGCTGCTGCTGCTGGAGTAAACGGCCGCGAGCACTTGTCATCGTGCCTTCTTGTTCTCGCGTAGTCGATACTCGCGGATACTCGCGTTCTCTCTCTCGAGGAGAAACCCCCGGAGGAGAGCGAGCGAGAGAGAGAGAGAGAGAGAGAGAAAGAGAGAGAGAGAGAGAGAGAGAGAGAGAGAAGAAGCGCGCGCATTCGGTGTAATAACGACAGTAACGCGTCGGAAACGAAGCGAGAGGAACGAAGTGAGAGAGGAAAGTAAGAAGATAGATAGAGCGAAAAGGAGAGCCGCGGAGGAGCGGTGGAGAACGTGGGCGTTGAGTGATTGTTGTCGGTGCTAGTTTCCATCGGGAGTCATGAGAGACACGAACGATATGATGGAGGACGCCCTGTCGGAGGTACGTAACAATCGGAGATACGTACACAAATCGGCCCGCGCGCCGCGCGGATCTTTAGATTAATTGTGCCGTGCGTGTTTTCGCACCGCGGGGAACAAATTTCTCGTCGCCTCTTGCTTTTTAACGCTTTAAACCTCCGCGGCACAAAGTGATATCGCGGCGCATTTAAATCGCACAGAAAAGGCTGTCGGTAGTGAACGAAGTACCGGATGCTTTTTTTCATTACCGGATTTCTTCACGATTGATTGGAGTCTTGAATTGTGTCATCCTCGAATCATGATTGAATAAATCATGATTGAAAAACTAATTTTAAGTAGTAGATTTTGCTGGAGCTTTTATAGTGGAGATTTATGTCCGTTCCTCTCGATAATATTTTCTACAACTTTTAGAATAGATCTCACTGTGAAAAATTAAATCTCGTCCTTAAATACTGAAAATTGAGCCACTTTTTTCAAGACCGGCTCAATTTTCTCACTCTAGAGTCAGATTCCACTCTAAAGAATTTAGAGAGTATAAGTTTTAGTTTAATCTTTATCTTTTTCTAGTTCTATACGACTTAGAAAAAGGTAAAGAGTGAGTTAAACGGAGATTAAATTTAATCTATATTCGTGGAAATGGACATTAATCACGAAAATTTACGGTAGCTTGAAAGGATGTCATGAATAATAATACTTCTTGGTATCTTCGTGGAGTAGAAATTATTTTCAATTTATCGCTATAAGTAATAGGATATTCTGTAATTTTGAAATATATGGTAAACTTTACGCTGACAGAAAAGTGTTTGGTATTTGGAATTATTATTTTGTGTAGAGAAATAAATTCTATATAGATTACACTGAGAGAAGAAAATGTCCGCTATTTATAATTATAATTGCATAGTAAAATAATTATGGTTAAGAGTTCCTTTTTCAGATATTACTGTTACAATTTTTATATCGATAATAATAATTATTATTGTATAGAACTATTATTTATAGATATTTAAAAGAACATACAGTTGACATGGAAAATAATTATAATTTATAGTCTTTTGTGCCAACTACATGTTTGTTTTAAAATAAATGGTACTATAAATATAATTATTATTCCTAACTTTATAGCGGTAATATCTATAAAATGGTCCTCTAACTATAATTACTTCAT